AAGAAGAATCCACTTCAAGGGAGGAAGTGGGTTAGATCAAAGAGAATTCATAACTTAAACAGCCATGCTGTATAAAAGATTTGAGCTTTCATATCACACAATACAGGCACTTGGGATCATTTGCACATTGGCTTTTCTGTATATGCTCTGTTATGTGTAGTTTTACATATAACCTCATGTGTCTAAGGTCTCATTGGCATCTTAAGTCTCCACCCAAGGTTGGACTGTTGAATATTCAAGTGACCCATGGGTCACTTTCAGATCACTGACATGCCTTACCTTTGCACCTGTTTGTTGGCCTCACCAAATTTCCTCCCAGCCTTCCCCTTTGCCAATTTGTTCTTTTTATATGCTAATTTTGCAGTCTTTGCTCTATAGCTTTCTGGCCCTCCCTCTGTGTCCTATCTGCCTGCCTCAACTTCACTGAATTTGCCTACCCCTAAGAGCTTCAGTAATTGAGGAGAATGTGCTGTGTTTAGCCATACTGTTTCTCATTTTTATGACATTCCCCAGGCCCCAGGCATTTGAATGATCTCCATTGCCTGCTGGGGTTTCCATCCAGGAAGATGGCTGCCAATCTTTCTTGCATTCATCTCTGTTTGTGTCTAGACTCCTCATGATAAAGAGGATAGACTTGGTGTGTGTGTGTTGTTTTCACACACTGTGTGTGTTCCTGGCATTCTTTGGTGCAAACACTAGTCATGTTTCATTTCAGGTTTAGAAAACAGATGACTCACATTCCATTGTTCCAATGACACTTATCAAGTTGCTTTCCTTTCCTTTCTTTTTTAAAATGGATCTGGCACTCTGGAAATAGACTCCGTGTTTGGTATTGTAAGTGGAATTTTTTCATGGTGTAAGTCTGGACTCTAGAAGCCCCAAGAAGGCAAGCTTAACCATCCTTCCCCAGTTAAAGTCACAAGTAATACTGAACACCAGAGGAAGGAAATGTACTCAATGTGGCCAGGTTGGAAAGAGACATGGATAAAATGGTCCAGTTGATACCATGTCTGTCTTAGTGATACTGATGTGGGGTTTAGGCTTAGGGGCAAGAGATGGGCAGTCCTGGTCAAAGGACAGACTTCCTGTCACTGTTCCATCTTTTTCTCAGCTCCTGTCCTGCCAGGTAGACCTACAAAGTGGTCTGCTGAGACCCTGATCTGTTCAGTAACTGTTCCCGCTGCTGCCTTTGGGACCTATCTGGTTTCAGCAAAATGATTACCTGTATGTGTTCTAGGACTCAGCTTCATCCTCATGGATAATTGTCCTTTCCTGGGGGGCAGCCTGTCTTGACAGCACTAGCTTCTCCTGGAATTTGAGGTGACTCAAGACAAAAGGTTAAGGACAAATAATTTACCTCTGTACATTCAGCCAAAGCATGCACACAAAATGGAAGCGGAAGTGCCAGGCTCGCATCTTGCTTTCCATTTCCCAGCAGATCTAAGCCAGGCATGAGTGCTTTACACTAAAAGTGGCTTCTAAGGGTGTTTGCAGTTAGTCTGAGAGCAGAGCCTTGAGTACTGTCCAAGGTACCCAAGGTGGTGAGATGAGTACTGCTCTACAGGAGATAGAGGAGCTATACAGACTGTTCACAGCTAGCAGACCATGTGTTACGCCAGGCAAAGAGCAAAGGATCTTTTAGATCATACTACTGACCACAGACAGGCCCTTGTATGGGAGTGGCTGGTCATTTGAAAAGGTATCCTGTGACTTAGCTGCTGGAGAGCACTTCCATTTTGCTGTCTGCCAGGGAGGGTATTGTGATTTATTTAGTGCCATCTTTCCCTAGCCCATGGACTTCCGTCCTCCTTATCAATGGGGCTATAGAAGCATGCGGAAGGATCTTCAGTGGCTCTGTGCTACCCTGGAGCAATATGAGAACAGCCCTAACTTGCGTAAAGAACTGCTACTTAGAGAACAAAGAGACACTGAGACAAGAACCCATGACGTCCCCACTCTCCTCTCACTCCTCCTCTATCACTTGATTGACAATATACCTTCAGTAGCTTTAGCCTACATTCTCTGTACCTCCACTGGACAATCGACTACTATTATGCAACCCATAGGACTTGTTCAGCATTCTGTGCTGTGCATGATGTGTGTGTATGGGCATATACACCACAGCACAGACTTAGACGGTAGAGGAGAGCTGTGTGGAATGGGTTCCCTTCGGCTACTTTCAGTGGGTTTTCTAGGCTTGCTCTGTAGCAAGTGTCTTTACTCACTGGCCATTTTTTCTCTTAAAAAAAAAGGTGGTTGTTTGTTAGAAAGCTGGAGAGAGTAGGCAAGCCATGCTTTCTGTTCAGGTGACTTTGAGAGAGCCAAGCAGCAAGTCTCTGAGACTCTCAAGTTCATGGCCATGTTTCTGCATGACCCGAGTCTAGGCTGACAGGGTAATCAAGCCCGACATGGTAGCAAGACACATTAGTAAGTATAAAGTTTACATGCACAGTTTACCTTCCTACTGAGAAGCACTGTTATTTTAGTTTTTGCATGTAGGTAGGTGATAGTGGCTCCTGGTGGGTGGAATAATCTGGATTCCCCAATCTCCCTGAGAGAAAGCCTTCTGGCAGGACTCAGAATCCAAGCCTAGGTCCAGTCAGCAGAATTGCTGTTGGGGGTCATATCCCTCCCATGTTTCTTTTGCTCTTACCCTCTTTGAGAATCCTGCTGTTTGAGTTTTAAGAGGACAGCAGGGTATATTACAGACTCTTGTCATTGACTGATTTGCTTAAATAAGTGACACATTATTCCCAAGTGGACGCTGCTGGGACAAATTAGTGTCAGTTACTCTGGCCATCCTGCTGCTGGGAAAACATGCTTTCACGGGAGTGTTGAGACTAACTTCTCACAGAATGAAGTGCCCTTTGCAAGGACTTTTGACTTTCCATTCATAATATATAGCAGTTGGTGACATAGGATTGTCCAGTGAGCCCTGATAAAGCTCAACATTCATACACACATGGAGCTAAATGGACAGGGATCTGTGCCCAGTTGCCTGTTTATGAATGAAGAGTTCCCTCCCCTCTGTTAGGACCATGCCCCTTCCCTTTGCGGCTTCCTGTGAATGAGGTCAGGGCCAGCATCTAACTGCTTCTGGCTCAGAAATAGCAGCACAGCTCCAAATTAATCTGATGCCATTTGTTGTTGGATAAAAAGCAGAGACCTGCTTATGTGTTTGTTTCCTGTATACCTTTGCAAACAGGCTGTGAATGAACCCATGTGATGAGGCAAAACACAGGCAGGCCAGCCAAGAGTGAACCCATTGGTAGCTGGTGGTTGCAGATAGGTTGTGGGAGCTGCTGTGCAGGCCATGGGAGCATTGATTTGAAAAGCAAAGCGGAAGAGAGAAATAGACCCAGTTGTGTAGTACTCTAACCACTTCTTTTCAGAAAGAAATGCTAGCAGTTGTTGAGAACACTGTGTGTTCCTTGTATTGGGCCCAGCTATTTTCCACAGTGTGTAGCCAGCTGGTTATTGCTCTCCTGTGGTTCCATGCCGTTTTTTGCAGTGTTTTAAATGAGTGTTACATGCACGTTGCATTATCAACCACATTAGCATATACAGAACAACACAGGCCCATGTGATTCCCTCTTACACAAACTCGAGCACATGCACACACAGACACAGACACAGACACAGACACACACACACATACAGAGAGAGAGAGAGAGAGAGAGAGAGAGAGAGAGAGAGAGAGAGAGATGCACCACAGCCTGATCATGCCTAGTCTTTGCAGAAATTGGAGTTAGCATCTGTCCATCATCTCATGCCAGCCAGCTTTTTGCACGTGGATCTTGGGGAGACTGGCATTTCTAAGGATCTTCCCTGCAGTCTCTTTAGGATTTGAGTATATCTAAAGGGCAGGGTTTGAGCATCAGACAGGCATTGTGTGTGTGGTGATGATGTTTCATTTTTGATCTCAGCCTTAATTGTTGGCTGTTAGCATCTGTTTTACTGGGGCCATCTTTTATTTGCAGTAATTGTCTCTTCTGTGGAAGATGAAATAAACACATTGGAACATTGAGTGAAGGACAGAGTGTCAGTAGCAGCCTAATCTGCTTCGTGTCCATTCAGTGGACTTTTATGTGGCAGGTGCATGTTGAAGAAGATGCCAAAGCCGTCTTTTATATTCATGGTGATTGATTTTGAGTGAGTGCAAAACAGCCTAGAGACTGTCATATGACTAACTGGTCAGATATATGATCTAATTGGTTTTTGTGCACCTAAATGGTTTCCCTAAATATTTGAGAAAAATTATAAGCACATACAGAATTGAGAAAATTTATATCTATATAGAAGTATGTATTTGTATACACATAACTGATTATCTACACACACACTCAAAGGGACATCTGTAGTAGGAAATGTGTGCTTTTCAAATGGATATTTCTCATATAGAGCCAGAAAGCAGATTAGTGACTGTGTGGGACTAGAGGATAGAACAGGGATTATTAATTTCACAAGCAAGAAAGATCTTATTGAGATGATAAAAAATGTTCTGAAACTGGATCACAGTGGTGTCACATAGGTTGGTAAATTTCCCAAAAGTCATTAAGGAATTATATGCTCAAAATGGATGTATTTTATAGCTCAACAAAGCTGTTAGAAACGATCATTCCCTTTAAGTCCTACGGTAGATAAAGGATGAAAGACTATCTCCTCCCAAGTCTTTGTACTCGCTTGTTCCCCTTGAAGTTTATTGACTTCAATTGTAGAGAAGCTGGTCCTTGAGGTGACAGGGCCAGATTAAAAAAGAAATCCAAGGACATGACATGGAAAAGTCTGCCCTGACCCCTATTGGCAAGGAGCAAGGTTGCTCCCACTGCTGAGTGAAGAGCCGTCTTCTGGATTGTCACAGGGCAGTGAGCACAGGAGATATGGAAGCAGGTCCCTGGAGGTAGAAGGCCCTGTGCTTCATTCAGTTTTGGCTGCCAATCAGAAACGCAAACGTTCTGGTCTCAGCCCTTAAGTAATGGAATGCTTATCTTCTTTTGCAGGTTGTGTTAGTCTTCGCTCTCAGCATCGGTGCCCTTGTAATATACTTCATAGACTCCTCAAAGTGAGTATGCATATATGTTGTCTTGCCCATTTTTCTAGGGCGCTTGTGACCCCTTACATTGATGTACTTACTTAACACTAGCCTTTGCAAGAGTCTCCTGAGTGCTGAAGGCTTGGAGGAAGGCAAGGCTGCTGTGTGCTGCATTTCTGAATGGGGAAACAATTCTCTTGGAAGGAAGGCTGTGTTGATTCTCTTGGTATGGGAGGGAGAGGCATGGGGAACCAAGCCTTGTTGGGTATTTATTTGTAAGGAGCTGTTTCCTGATGGAGTATTTGTGCTGAAGATGCCAAGAAGTTAAGAAGGTTGTAATGGGAATGTGCATCCTCTGGGAGGGGTGATAGAGTCCAAGAGATGAGTTTGAGCCATTCTGGCCACAGTCATCAGATCTTTTTATCATCCAGGGTTAGGTCATATTGGAGGATAGATTCGAAAACTCCATTCTAGAATTTCATCTGCCAACAGACTATGTAGCTGAAGCAATGGTCACTGTGTTTCTTCACTTATACAAGTAAGGAAATGGGACAAGACTGTCCATGAGGACTCCCAGATGTAGAGGTCTATGGCTGTCTGAGAACTTGTGGAGAGCAGTGCTCATGCAGACCCTTTGGCAGTTTAGTGGTCTGGTGGTCCAGAGTAAGCATGGTTCACAGATGGTGAAGACCTGCTGGGAAGCTGAAGGACCAGTTACCATGGCTACCCTTAAGTTCTGTGGGTACCACTACTGGTTGTATCACTCGTTCCAGCTATCCTACTGCAATCTCAAAGATGACAGCATCTGAAGCACACAGATCTGGGGATGGATTTGCTTTTCTGTTGGGACACAAACTTGACAGCTCTAGGCAAGGAAAAGAGCTCTGAGCTTGCTGTCCTCATTGTCTACTTGGAGAGTGGTTTGCATTCCTCTAATACTAATCCTGGGTGGATCCTACACATTGATCCTAGGATACCTGCCTTGTGTTTCTCTTGGATCAGATTCAGCTATGCCTAAATTCTGAGCTTAATGCTCTTTTTCCTACGGTATGGTGGCAATTTCATGCACACCTAAATTCTGAGTTTCCTAGAGCTATCTGGTCACCAGCCAGGGGATTTTGTGTGTTTGGCTCCAGAGGCCAAACTGTCACATCAAGGAAGATAAAAGAAACATGTCTACTCATCCATGTCTGGAATCGGCCAAGCATGAGGCCTTTAGAAGTCAGTCAGCCCACCTCAGACACAAGGCTTTGCCCTCACCCATCTTGAGCCATGAGTCCTTTAGACATCTTCAGGGGACAAGATTGTGCATGTTCTCTTCATCTGAAATCCCCAGTCAAGAAAAAGAAGAGTATAATTCAGTCTGGAAGACTCCAGTTGTCTTGTGTGTGAAGGTAAGGCCTCTTTTCGTATTTACTCAGACATTCTGGACCACATTTGAAGTGAACTGGAACTCTCAAGCCGTTGGTCATCTCTCTCCAATCTCTCTCCAGGGGTCATGGGGTACATACCCTACCAACGCCTGTGCTGGGGTTTAGGAAAGAGGTTTGGAATGTAATCTGTGTGCCCCAGAGAGAGCACACACTTACGTGAAGGTGAGTGTAGCTATCCTGCTGAAAGGACAGATGCCTCGGCCGTGCTTCCCTTTCCTTTGTCTCCCTTTCTGCCCCTTTGTATGTTATGGAAATAAAATGTTGCTGGTAGATGGATTTGGATGGTGTCTTTTTTTTTTTAAATCATGTCTAATAGGAGGCAATCTTAGGCTTTATAGAGTCTGGTCTTCCTTGGTAGAGGATGGCAAAGCATGCTGGTCTCCTAAGTTGATACTCTTCACTGGCGCCTTGCTAGCCTCCAGTCCTTTGGGGTTGGTTCTGACTCTGCTAAGCCTTGCTGAAGCTGATTCTGTGTCCTTTAGGGTCATGCAAGAGTCTGTACCAAGGCTGACCTTCAGTTCAAATTCACTTTTCCCAGCAAAAATACCAGTAATCTTAGATATAAGACTGTCTTCATTCTCCATGGGGGCTGGCCAAGACGTACCATGGCGCCAGCCTTTCCTCCTTCCTAAACTAAGCAAACTGTGTGGTTTGTTAATACAGACTTTGTTTAGCAGAATACCTGTTGCTACATATGTAATTCTACTTTTCAGCTCTACTTCTTCATCTGGCTCCGAGACCATAGCCTAAGACTCCAACTTGTAGAGAAGCCAATAAGTAGCCTACACAGAGAATCCATCTTTTCAGGGAGATCCATCGGGCATGATCAATTTAAGGAGACAAAATAAAGTAAAATCTATAGTGTTACCTTTGTGATAAGTCTAGAGACATGGTTCTCAATCTGTGGGTCATGACCCCTTTGGGATCAAATAACCCACTCACCAGGGTCGCCTAAGATTATCTGCATATTAGATATTTACATTATGATTCATAGCAGTGGCAAAATTAGTTATGCTTTAGCAATGAAAACTTTATGGTTGGGGATCACCATAACATGGGGAACTATATTAAAATGGTTGCAGCATTAGGAAGGTTGAGAACCACTGGTCTAGAGGGTCATAGTCAGAACACCATGTGCAATCCATTAATCAAACTGTAATCAAGTTTAGTGAATGAGATGAGATGAAACTCTGTTGACATATAAACTACAAATGGAATGAACATGGGAAAGGAGAAGGCAAATTCTTGAAGCCTATCTTCTTCATGCTAAACAACTACTGACTTAATAAAAATGACTTGGCTGACCATCTTAGAAAGAAGTTTAAATTTCTCTGAAAAATTATACCAAGACATTACCCTGGGGGAAAAAAATACCTGGTATTCTTGAGGTGAATTTGTATTCGTGCTAACCCTCTGCAAATAAATAAATCAGGAGTCATGCTATCTGGACTGCGATGGTTGCAAAGTTGATTCTCTCATTACACTTAGCTATGGCTGTCTTCACCCACTTGGTAGATTGGAAATCTCCCAGTTACAGAAAATTAAGATGCAAAACTTTTCACACCTGGCCCTTTGAAAAATGCAGAGAGGGAGTGTGGCGATGACCCAGTGGGTAAGAGCATCTCCCGAGCAAGCATGAAAACCTGAGCTCACATCACCAAAACATTCCTGAAAAGCTGGGCATGGTCCTGTGTGCCTGTAACTCTAGAGCATTAGGGGGTGGAGACAGGAGGATCATGGGGGCTTGCTCCCCCGCCATCTTAGCTCTGGACTTGGTGAGAGACCCTGCTTTACAGGAATAAGTTGGACTGTGACAAAGCAGGACACCTGACTCTCTCTTCTCATCTCTGCTTGCACGTGTGCCACATGTGCATATTGCCACACATGTAGAAAATATTTAAACGATTTAAAAAGAAAACTTCAAAGGATGCAGATGAGCATATGAAACAGGTCCCAGGGATGGACATGGCCAGCCGTTTTCAGAGGGGCTGAGCTAGACTGTGCATGTGGGCAAGCAGAGCAGATGCTTATTCTGCCTCAACAAGTCAGCAGAAAGGCAACTCAGTTAAGGTTAACGCTGTAATTGGCAGGAGCAATTGTAATGGTAATCTTCCTCACCTTTCAAAATTCACTTGATTGTAGTATTTCCACACATCTTCACTCAAATTTCAGTCCTTAGTCCAAGACAGACAGATCCCCGGGTGGGTCTTTTTCAGTGATGTGTTTGAGAATTCCTCCTTTGGATCTTTATTTCCCTCATTTGATCTCTATGGGAAGTGTCATTTAGATCATTTGCAGTGATCACTGTCTAGCTAAGAAATACTGGCCTGAAGCCAACAGATGAAGAGAATCACATTAAAAATGGGTTCAGATGGTGTTCCATCATCCCACTGGAAGACACTGGAAATATTCAAACAAAGAGGGTGTTACAGCAAGACTTGGTTAGGATGGATGGAATATCCATGCCTTCATCCTTGCAAGGTCCATGTTCTCCAAATTCCCCACTTCCTAACTCTCACCTCTCCCTAGTGACTCTGCATGTACTCTTTCTCCTATGCACTCCGATTTCTATAAAGCAAAGACTTTTAAAGATGTATACTTAAGGGCCAGAGAAATGTCTTGGCTAACAAAAGGCATCTGCTACATAAGCCTGACAACTGGAATTTAATCCCTGGACCCCACATTAAAATGGTGGATGTGATGATGTGGTTCTGTAAAACTAGAACTCTTGTGGTGAGATGAGGGGTAGAGACAAAGAGAATCTTCTAGAAGTACATGAGCCAATTGGCCCAGAGTATGTAGCACAGCACCAGACAGGAGAAACTCAGCCTCAACATAATTGAAGGTGAGAACATGTTCCTGAGAGTTTTCTTCTGACCCTCACACTTCTACTGTGGCACATATATGTCCATACTTACACACACATCATACAAAACATATATGCACATACACATATGCACACACTAAATAATTTTTTAAATTGTACAGCTAAGTCAGATGTGTCCCTCATTGCCCTATGAGTGTTAATGTCACTGTTGCTTGTCCATTCCTCTCCTTGTCACCAGACAGGGGTGGGGAGACCTCATAATGTCATCCTGAGGGGAAGGCGCCATGGAGGGCAGAAGGCAGCAGTCTTTACTGCTTCCATGGTTTTAAGAGAAAGTTGGAAGAAACAGCAGCTCTCAAAACTCTGTGCATTTGCATTTTTCCAATGGCATTCTGGGAAAGGATGACTCACATGTGGGGAGATAGTTATTCCTTTGATTCATGCTTAAATGCTGCTCCTTCTTATGCTTCAGTTGCGTGGATTATGAATATTTAATGCTGCATATACTGGAAAGGAAGGTCATTCCTGCTCACTGGCGACTTCAAAGCAGCCTCAGTTCTGAAAGGCATACCACCTGCTGTTAGCAGAGTGAAGCAGAAAGGTTATGCATTGTTAAAATCTTCCTTAATGACTGGAGCCGCACCAAAATGGCCAGTGCACAGTTGGGGATGCCTGCTGGCTTTGCCAGCTTTTGCTCTTGGCTTCTGGTTTAAGCCCTGCTATTTGAGTGAGGTGGACATGAGGAGGGGAGGACCACAGCACGGGTTTTG